AGCCGTGACCGACCAGACGTTACATGAGCCACCCTGCGGCGAGGAGTCCTGCGATCCTCTCGCACATAACTATCCCCGTATGGGATTCGAACCTGCGAACCCATGCGGAGCAATCAGAGGTGCGATGGCGAGCGTATTCTAACGCTTAGCACGATGAGCCACACCGCCGCGCCGAATTGTCAACTCAGGAGTTCATTTATTGTAGTTAGTGTTGATGCCTTGTTTTTGCTGAAAAAAATACGCCCTTGTCGTATTCCTAGAGGCCACACGGCCGATGTGGCCTCAGCATCAAGTATAAATGAGCAGTGTTTCCATGTTTTTCAAATGGATGATGAAAGGCTTTGAAAAACAATGCAATGTAACCCTAACAATGCGAATTTTAGACATTTATTGAAAAATTCATGATATTTACACGGTAGTTTCCGGTAAACCCTATAAAGTATTTCCATGCGGTTTGCTGGGACGAAAAATCCGCTTTTCAGCCTTTCGGCGGAGTGGAGCATCGTTATAAGCGTCAAGTAGACAGCCGCAACGTTACCGTACTGTAGGTTCGCAGGTTTCAATCCCATGTAGAATTAATTATGTGCGAGGGGATTGCTAGACTCTTTGGCCTTGTAGCGTAACAGCTTGTCGCTTGCGGCCTCCTTCCTCAGCATGTCCATCCATACCCGACATGAATGATAACCGGACTAGAGGCCATGGTTCGCTATATGATTAAGCCGCCTTATCCCTTTCCTCTTCCACTCCGGAATAAATATCAATCCTATCCCATTTCTTTTTGCCTACTCAATCATCACCGTTTCAGAGATAAGTGGCTGTTCAATTTTAGAAACTTCTTCGATTAACCTCGGATTTTTGAGACAAACATTAAGAACAACACAAAGAAAACTCATGCATCCCAAGGTGTCAAAGGTAGATTTGATGACATCACAAACATCTTGAAATTACTGCCTATTTCAAAATTTTGGCGGCTAAGGTGACGCCGGCCGGCTTCTGGTGCTCCGTTTTCAAGGTTTTTGTTTCTGTACTACCGGTACTTCTCGTTGGAATGAAATGGACCAGGTTTCAATTTTTTTCTAGCAGTACATGTTGAATCAATGGTAATAGTAGTTACTTGCTGACGCATATTGGCTATTTTCTTGTAACCTTATCTTATCTAACCTTGTGTATGGTTTTGTAGTGACATCACTAGGATAGCCTAACCCCAGAACTATTACCGGTATCGGTACCCTACGTTTGTCTGAAGCCGAGGCCTGTAAATACCGTACGCTGATGCTAAGAACTTCGTTAATAAAGTTTAAATCTCAATGAAAAAATAGAGCCCAGGCGATTAGAACATCGCTATCAGCAGTAAAGTAGGCAATCATTTATTTTGATTCCCTGACATTAACAATACAAAAAGTAAACGGACAAAACAAAATGCAGAGATACCTGGGAGACGGGCATAACTCAAAATAAAGTTTAAAAGCGTACGAAGCGTGCCCGCCCACCAAAAAAAACAGAAAAACGCGATTTAGAATCGGGAAGTACTTTGAAGGCAATTTAACAAAAACAGCAATATGAAGCAGATAATTGAATGTAATAAACTTCTGACAACTTCTTCTGTCTTTGGTTGATGAAAATTAGAACCACATGTTGGTATCCAATTAGAGTTTATTGGGAGATCACCAAATTAATATATAAATGAAGCCAATTTTAAATACTGTGTAGGCCTATGGAATTCTTGGTTGTGTATAGCACAAATCCGAATAAGTAGAAAGCTATACGACAAATGCAACCACAAAAAAATGCATGATTGAAAGGCTGCATGAAGCTTTGAATATTGGAAGCATTAAAGCGCAACATTGCAGAATCAGTACTAAAATCCCAAATTGGTTCAATAGATGCATTGTTGTGATAAGTTTGAGAACAATATCAAACCGGCAAATCTTAATAGGAGAGCTGTTCAAGAAGGATCTACTCTTTATATAAAATATGCTAGCCATCATGTTGTTTAAATAAGAACAAAAAATGAAATGATCGTAGCCTACATGCTTGAAATGGCTGTGAATACAAAAAATCAAACAAGACATGCCAATGTTAAAAGTAAGTGGTGAATAATAATGAACACAGCAAAAAATGATTCAGACAGTGCACCTGGATAAAATTCAACAATAGCTATATACAATGAAACTATTTACCAAAACAATTTTCAAACAACTGCCAATACTGCTAAGCATCATGAAGATGTAAAATAATTTGTAAAGCACACTCACAAAAAGAAATACCTTGAGCAAAGGTGAAATAAGTGATAGAGGAAAGTAAATTATGCTCATATCCTATGTGCTGCATAACCACAGTACAGTTACTGCAAATTCCATCAAAATAAAAATTATTGGCAGAAAAAGAGAAAATATAACTACTATTGCAATAATATCCACTCACTAAGGTTATAGGAACTCATGATAAAATAGAAAGTGAGTACCAAAAATATGAAATTAATTACGTACTGAAACTATCCTGCTCGGAGACCTGAGTTCCGTTGGGGAAGAATATATGCGAGGTACGGTACCACTGGGATGGTCACCGTCATACACTGGTTCACGTAAACGCCATTTAGTTGCGCCTGCCTCTACTATCAAGTCCATGTCACTGAGACAAGTTAACTTACTTTTCCCCCAAGACCGACATGGGACTGGTAAGCAGTAAGTGACCGTGGTTTGCCATATAATTAAGAAGTCCTACTGACTTATCCAGGATAAATATGAAATCAGTTCCTACATCAGAATTAGACAGAAGACTGAAATTAATAAATAGAAGCCGGGTCTTGCTTTTTAGAAATGAAGATCAGGCTTAATGATTATTCGCTTTTCTAATGGACTGATAGTTTGACACAGGTACCGTACCGTACCCTTTACCAGTTTGTCAGACGTTTAGGCTTGGCATGAACTATCAACCAAAAAGACTCGCAAGATATGGCCATTGTGCGGTCAAATTATAAAAAATACACATTTATGGTGTTAGCATGGCTTGCCCAGCCACTAAGTTACCCAGACCTAAAAATGTGGACAGGAATTTTTGCCTCTTCCATTTTCAACAGAAAATACCCTTTGATAAGTTGGATTGTTGGCGATTTAGTTGCACCAGGTTATTGGTATAAATTACTCGGATACATCCAGCCACTACTAAAACATATTGGATATATAATATTAGATATTTGGGATTATTTTATCATGAACAGTCTACTATAACTAGACCTTACATGGTAAAAAAGTGCCAGAGACCGGTGAGTAAATTTTGTTCATAACAACTTGCATTGTAATTAGTTGAGAACTTGATTATTTCATATAAAGCAGAGAGAAATTGCATTAGACTTGATATAAATATTTGAACTCTGAGAAATTAAATTTTTAAAACAAAAACTTTGGTGTATGCATGCCTTCTTACATAGACTATCAGGAACACTTGGTAAAATATAAGCTTTAGTAGAAAATTGTGTATGTCATTGAAGAATTCTAATATAGAAAATACATAAAAATATTCAAGAATAAGATTTATGAAATTAAAGTGCAGTAAACTTCTGCTAACCCCTTTTACTTGTAAGTGTTTAAAGAAGTATAGGTATAGCATAAGTTGGAACAAGCCCCAATATTTCAAAAGAGCCTGAGACAATCAGGTGACTCTGTTAAGGAAGACATTTGCTAAGGCACACATGCAGGCAATAGTAATACCCGTATATCAAAATTTAATGAATAGCAGGACAGTGGGTTATAATGCCAGTTGTTCACTACAAAATTCAAACTACACAAATTGGAGCTTTAAACTATACAAATTGAAACACGCAAACAAAGAAACTTGCATTATCTTACAGTTAGCATGATGACGCAGTCAATAATTAAAGTGTTACAAGTAACAATGTTGACATTGCATGTTATGCAACTCCAACTGAATCTATTGCAAACCACCCCGGGTGCAATAATTCAGGTGGACAACGCAGTACTGAAAAGATTTTTGGTCCTAGCAATCATAGTAGCTCTTTACATATCGCTGGCTGCTTTAATATCGCCTTGTTTAAAGGAAAATGCAATCGCAGGACATTGACATTATGTAAAGGAAAGCTATGCTGAGTCACGGTAATGTGCTTGATTTTGATGCGCAGACGCAGTGGAGTAAATGACCTCACTGCAAAATTTGACACATACAATGAAGAAACTTTCATTTACGGTAGAAAGCTTATTTGAACCTCTCACTCTAAAAGGGGCTCTGTACAAGCACTCGCTGATATCCAGCGATCTACTGTTTTTTAAAGGCCCGCAACCTTCCCAATTTATTACAACCTGACATGGGATTTGAACCTGTGATGCCAACACAGTTGAGTCTTATTCTTTAACCACTAGGTCATCGACCAAAACTTATAGCAAGTACACCGTATTATTGTCACCACTATATGGCTGGGGTGGCCAACTCATCTATCGCAATTGCTCGGTCACTTGAGTATGTCAATCACGTCTGATGTTGAGCGAATTCAATAACATACGCAAAAAATTGCCTTGTGTCTGTTTTAAAACAGGACGCATACATGCGCAAAATACGATATAAACATACAGTACACATGAAAGTTTCGCGGATGCAAAGATTTAGAAATGAACTGGCCAAATATTGTGTGTTTTGACTGAGAAACGATCCTAAAATAGCTTCTGCAGTACGCGAAAGCTATTGTCTCACTCCAAGGGTGGTGTGGTAAAGTGTATTTGCAACGATAGCATGGGCATCAGAATGCCCATTTTTTTCTAATTTTGAGCGAGCGACGAGTCTGAGTAGTAGGAAATTCTAAACCAGATAAATCATGTAACATTTATGGTTTGAGAATATTTTTTTTTCGCTGTTTTGATATTCGGGAATTTTCAACACTTACGACTAAAAATTAGACAGGCCTTTTATATTACCAAATTGAATGGAACATGAATAATACAAATTTTTGTGGCAATTTCATTCAGTATGCGCCCCCTAAGCCGACTAAAAGCTCCACGTCACTCAAGACACATCAAACTGCCTTCTTGACTGGAATCTTCTGGTGTTGAAGTTTTGGCAATCTGTACGGAACTTTGGTTGGAGATGTTGGTTGTTGCATTTCCAGCACTGATCACATTGGCGGCAATATTGTACACATTGGTCGGTTTAGCTGTATAAAGAATAAAGCATCATTATGATTCTAATGGAAAAAGTACAGTAGAAAATAGTCTATTACTATATACAGTGATAAAGTGTTTCCCAAATTTGGGTCCGCGGACCCCTGGGGGTCCGTGACAACTACACAGGGGGTCCGCAGCGATATTGAGAGTCTGAAATATATACATACAGAACTGTAATTTGCATTTTTTTTTTCTAGTTTTCGGTCTTTGGGAATATTTTTACTTTCATGGGAATTTTTTTTAGAGTTATCAATATTTGTAACATGTCTTGATTAAAGTTTATAAAACATTTAACAGTGTGGTGTTTCTGATTGGGTCTTCCTCATAAGATTATAACACGATGCTAACGTGACATGGCCTGTGTAAGCTATGCATGGTCATGCGACTAGTGTAGTCATGTCGCCTTCTCACACATGGCGCGACAAATTGGATAGGCATTAGGCAATGCCAAAACTTTACGCGGTCTTTCTAATAAATGGCAGCTTCTTAAATAGATATCAGTGGAAGCTTGTACAAATAATGTTGTCTTACCTTCAGGAACTGGTATATCAAGAATTGGCCACGTAGTTGTCAGGGGTAGAACCTTTTCAGCGTTGTCTATCTTCAGGGAATATTCTATGTCAATGATTCCAGATTGTTGTGGTCTCGGTCTCATCTTCAAATAAATTTCATGACGAAGATTATCTAGAACTTCTTTTGTGACTCTGAATGATGTATCGTCATAGCAGACTACTTCTGCTTCTTGCGGTTCTTCACAAATGAGATTGATTTTCATCTCTGATCCAACTTTCGCTGTGAATTTCTTACCGATTCGTATGAGCTGTACAAAATTCTTTTTTGCTAGAATTTGTGACACTTCATTCTGGGTTTTAACGTCACAAAGAAAAACAGAGACAATGGTAGCTGTATCTTTTTGTATGTAGACATCATTAAGAAGATGGTACTTTCCATCCCCTGCGTTGTCTCCAGCTATCGCGACAACATCATCTGAGAAATGGTTGACTTCAAATTCGACTACGTTACGATCACGCAAAGCCATGTGTTTATCTTCCAATCTGTGCTTACATCCTCTCTGCTGAATATCATTGCGGGAATCTCCTGATTCTCCAATGTGCTGTACCATGTTCTCATGGAGGCCTTTACAGGTTTGTTGAACTGGATTGATGGTCTACACTCTACAGCCAAGAATGGGGGAGATTGGCATACCATCTTTTGGAAAGCTTTCTGGATTGTTGCTCAGGAACATCTGAATTTCTGTCTCCTTTTCTAGTGCTTCCTCCGGAATAGTGATGACACATCCAAAAAGTTCAACTTTCCTCCCATTTTGTCTATTTTGATGATGTTAGATGCATTCACATGTGTCTGAATATAGAAATCTTCGTTAACTTCCTGTGTAAGGGCCTTCATGTCGAACTTTTCATTCCCCTTATCTGCGCGAGCGTTCATGTCAGTAGTCATGGCCTTGACAGGGGTTACTGGTATAGTGCTTTCCTCTGGTCCCGCCAACGCACTAGTGATGACAACATGCAAGTATGGCATACGAAGTGGCTCTTTATTCACAACCGCTTTGCCTTCTTGAACGTTTGGTTCTTTATCTTTGGTTATTTTTTCTGGTGTTATTCCAATTCTGATAAAATCAGACTTGGTTGAAGGAAATCCAGCCTGAGGATTTGTGAATAGATAAAATATTTCCTTTCTGAATAATTTGTAGAATACATCTTTATATCAATTGTTTACTTAAAAATCAGTGAAACAACCATTGTGAGCGAACATCCTCGGCAAGAACTAAATCAGTTACAGTAACTTTTGGCAAATTGAGCCTGTCACAACAGGCTGAGCGATTTGCAGTTCTATGCCATATCACCCCTATGCAATTATAAATTTCAATAAGACACATATGTCTTGTGGCAACACATTTGATCACGAAAAGCAATGTACTGTTATGTATTTTAATTGTAAAAGTAAAGATGTCCAAATCCAAAACGAACAAAATGTTTTAACATATTCGGAATTATCATTTTCCATTAGTAGACATGACTATTTCTCAGAAGATACTAACAAAATTATTAAGCCAATGATTTTTGATATTTCTTTTATGCAGTTCCAACGGTTTTGTAAAAATCCATCAAATTCAGATATTTCATGGGTTGAGTTATTCTGGTTTGGTCCCAACATGTGTAATTTAAAGGTGAGAATCCGTATATACTCGCCGATAAGTCGCACTATTAGTTTTGTGTTAAAAAAGTTTAATTTAGAGTTGACTCGCACATAAGTCGCACTGAAAATCTAGGGATTTAAAAGGCCCTTTCCTTAGCCCAGGGGTTCTGAACCTGGGGTTCGTGAACCCCGAGAAGATTTCCAGGGGTACTTGAATGGCAGTTGAGTTTTCATGTGTTGTTATTTTTTCATTCCTCTACCATGAGAGGAAAATGCATGCCGATTGAAACTCAGCGTGGATTTCCCTGATCTTGCGCTGTTGTGACTGAACAATGTGCAATATCGAAATATATAACGTGCTGTTAGATTCTCGAATTGAAAAACTTAAACAGGGACAGCCTTCACACCAATTTTCTGTATAATTTCCTGAATAAAATGAATACTTTTGTTTAATATCCTTTAAACAAGTGCCCCCCCCTTTTTTTGTGGAGCGGTAAAATCGAATAAAATGTACTCGCGCATCAGCAAAAATTGGAATGAGTGGAATAGGAAATAATAAAATATGTTTGCCAAATGTAATCCAATGTCGGGCACTCACTGTGATTCTAGATAAAAAGGCACACTTGAAAACATTTCACATAAATAATGCGCAGGCAAAAAATGGAAATGACTGAATCAAACGTTGTCCAAAAAAAGACTTATTCTTCTCGTTCTTGTTGAAATATATCAAAATTCTTTATTGGTCAACTGGTCTCATATTAATCCCTCTGCAGTCAATCAACGCCTCAAACAAAATGAATTTACAAGGAGATGACAAAGTCGTCGGAAAGAGAAATTGCTATTTGAACAAACACAACGTCGTTTTGTGAAACAACAAAATTTCCCACAGACCGACAAAAAGCTTCCGATCCGAGGACCAGCAGTTGGGAACTACTGCTTTAAAACACAGTTTCAAAATTGTTATATTACAACTTTGTTTGGTGTCTGATTACGCGGGGTTCGGGTTGATTATTTCATGACTCGGGGGGTACTTAACAAGAAAAAGGTTGAGAACCCCTGCCTAGCTTTTTTTGCATAGATAACTTCCTATTTCATTTTTTTTTTGTGGGGCTTATAATTATATTTATAAAATCAAAATATGTTTATCGACACCTGTGAGCGATAATAAGTGCATGTACGCAAACGCAGACCATACAATTTTCATGAATAACCAACTCGTTTTCATTTTTGTTCCGACTTGGTGGCGATTTGCACTTATGTCGAGCGGATTGGCCGCACCTATATTTTTTTTTTAAATATAAGAAAAAAAGATTGCAACCTATCTGCGAGTATGTACGGTATTTATGTTCTGAAGACTCGTACCTGATAACTGGCTTGTCATGCGGTTAGCTTTTCGCCGTATAGCACCTGAAAAATGTTTTGTTTTGAAAAGCATTTACTTGGTTATAGAGTTGAGTTATTCGCATTGGTACATAAGTTCGAATCCCATTTATGCTAACACTGTATGGTTGCGGTCTCCATCCCCAATCAAATCCATTATATTGAAAGCAAACCCTGACTGACTGAAAAATGTTTTTGATAGCTAATTTTGCTAATACAACAGTGGCACTCGGATACTTGCAAAGTGATTGGTATTGCTCGCACGTGCTAGAATAACTAAACTAAAAACTCATTTCGCAGGCACTTCTCCGAGGGCCACACAATATTTTCTTGCGGGCCGCAGTTTGCACACCCCTGGTCTACAAGATTCAAATGTTAATTATAGATGAGATAGCAAGCTGCAAGAATGAAGCATGTTTGTGATGAGATGGGACAGGTACAGATGGGATCTCGGGGCCAAAAAAAAATTGAAAACACCATTGGATAGAGGACTAATAAAAAAAACTATTTCAACAAAAAAATTGTAGTGTAGTAATTATAGTACAAAAATATTATAGTGACATCCGACAAGTTTTCAAACTTTTTGGGGTTCGAAAATGATTGATCACTTTCAAACCTCAAAAAGTTCGAATACTCGTTGGGTGTAACTACAATGTTTTTGTTGGAATAATTTCTTATATTAGTCCTCTACACAATGATGTTTTCAAAATTTTGCCCCAGCGACCGGAAAAATTCAAAATAATTCGATTTTGGGGTAAAAATAAAAATTTCAGCAAAATTGACCACTTTCAAACTTCAAAAATTTGAAAACTCGTCGGGTGTCACTACAATTTTTACGTTGGAATAATTTTTTTTTATTAGTCCTCTATAGGGCTGGGCATTTCGAATCGAATAGTAAATTATTTGAATCGGTTTAGAGCAAATTTTCGAATCGCCGCCATCTTGTTTTACTCTTTCCGCCAATGGTCGAGGTAAATTTCTCAATTTTATTTTTCATTGAAGCCATATTTTTTCAACACAATCCTGACTTATGACTCTTTTCTGCATTGAGGTATTGATGAAAACGTGTTTTTTTTATTGTCAGTGATGTATTCTATGTTTTCAGTAATTTATGTGTCTGGAGGACCTAAAATACTAAGAAATTTACATACAATTTCATACCTTCCAAGTATTCGATTCGATTCTGAAATCATCAGGTATTCGAAAATGCCCAGCCCTAGTCCTCTATCCAATGTCGTTTTCAAATTTTTGCCCCCGAGACCGGAAAGATTCGAAATAATTCGATTTTTCGTAAAAATAAATTCAATTTTTTCCTAGTTAATCATTTTCAAACCCCAAAAAGTCGGCAACCCCCTCGAATGTCACTATAATATTTTTGTTGGAATATATTCCTATATTAGTCTTCTATCCAATGGTAGATTCAAATCTTTGCTCCCAAGACCGAAAAAATTCGAAATAACACGTTTTTTTTATGAAAAAATTTAAATTTTTTCATAGTTAATCATTTTCAAACCACAAAAAGTTCGCAAACTCGTCGGATGTCACTATAATATTTTTGTTGGAATATATTCCTATATTGGTCTTCTATCCAATGGTAGATTCAAATCTTTGCCCCCGAGACCGGAAAGATTCGAAATAATTTGATTCGAACATTAAATTTTCGCATAATTGCCGATTTTTGAACCTACATTTTGTTTGACCAGGAAACACTTATTCAGTTATTATGAAATTTGGGAATATAAGTTTGATATTTGGCTGGCATGACAGTGTTGACCTGAGTGACATATCATTTTTATAGTCGACGGCAATACGATACTCTTAATAAGTACCGGTATAACAGTATAAATCTCTGGACCACATACTGACATCTATATTGATGATAGTCAATAAATACTGAAATAACAATACTGGTGCCGGCACCGTAAACTCAACAACTTTGTTACTAACCTGATGAAGTAGCGACATCGTGATCCTTATATCCACGTGTTGCCATATTCGAACAATGTTCGCTTTCAGCTCTAACTTTAAAAGCTTAGCGCAAACATAATTATGAGAAATAAGATTTTTTTGTCAAATCTAAACTGAAATAAAAGAAAATGCGTTAATCCTCATCAATGTAAAATAAAATAAATACACAAACCGGTACTGTAACAGAAAAGCTTTATCAGTGGTATAGTAAATTCAGGTTACACTGACATACAAAGACATGATGCGGTACCTACTGCAAGCAGAACGGCACTGGAGTGGTAGCCACTTGCCAGTAACCACAGCTCAGCCATAATTCTGTAATTAGATAGAGCGAATATATATGGGCTTTGGAGCGACCAGGAACAACCCCAACACAACGATGACGTCAATGATCATGTTGACCACTAGATGTCAGCCTGTAATGGGTATCGGGCGTTCCTCTAGTCTAGTCTAAGACCTGACATGGGAAAACTACGATCCGTTAGATAATTCTATTAATTCCAATGGTTCTTAAGATGTGACTCGTCCCAGTTGTACTGCGATTTACTCACATAAGCACATATTAGAATTCACAATACGAGCGCATCGTCATCTTGGGTATGTGTTCTGATATAAATT